AGTACATAACTTCATGTGATAGAACAGTAATGTGAGCGTCATGGGTTAATTGGAACAAGTAAATCAGTACACTGTCCTATGAAAATCAAGCAAAGTAAGAAATATGAGAATGTTTGACATCCCATGACAAGTGGCCAGAAGAGACACATAGGGAACAGAGGGATACATTAAGACAGAAGTGAAGTGGTTAAGTATACAAGCACTCCGCAGGCTGCTGAGTTTCAAGTGTTGCTTTATTTTACCAAGCAAAACATTAAAGGGCCCATATTACGCTATTTTATAATGTTGTTTCATCATCAAAAACAGACCTGCAGTTGTGTTTTGTTTAATTCTAACATGATTAATACACAAACTCTGCATATTTAGGCTGAGTTCTTTTCTCAGATGAAAAACACTGATGCCATGTGATAATACAGGAAGTGCTCGAGTGTGTTTTTAAACTTCAAACACATTCACTACACTCTTTTGCATAATTTCAGCCATGGAGTAGCCAATCTCTACTAAACAAGAAGCGTAAGATAGCATAGTTAACTTGATGACATGATATCACAAGGTCAAACAGAGCATTTTGAGCTTTGGAGATGTAGACAGACTAATAATAAAGGGTTACTCCAACTTGTGTGAATGACCAAACACAATGCCAGGTATGTTTCTGAGGAAGTAAAAACATGGTTTAATGATCACAAGAAGCAATTTGGCGTAATATAGAACAAATATTAACTTCCAATGTTGGCTTAGGTGCTAGACAGGAACTTTTGCACTACATAGGAATAGTCATACCAAAGTCTAACAAAACAAAAAGTCTGTTATCTTTACAACCTGAACTATGTATTAACCACGCTAATTATGTGACCTTACTTCCTATACATTTCGTAACTCTGAGTCACTACCCTCCATGGTGTTATGCAGTGAATGAAATACTTGCACTGCTGATAAATACTTTCACCTAAGGAGTGGTTTTCTTTTCAAAAAGTCGAAACTTGCATTCATACACGTACAAAATAGTTGAGAGTATTGCTTTACATTAGGGGTGGGACAAGATCTTGTGAGCCAAATTTGCCCCAAGATAGTATAGCATGAAAAAAAAAAAGATCTTGTGAGATTCTTTTCCCCGTGTGTTTACATTTGGATCGGAAAAAAAACTAGGTGAGTATTGGTGAGTCAGAGCTCTTATAGTTCCAAAAGCAGTACTAGAATGTCAACAAAATATTAAATAAATAAATCAAAAAACTGTCGGACAAAATTGGAAAGTGGCAACCGCAAAATGTGTATATTAGGATCTGTGTGTAAAAGCCTCCAGACCCAATCTATAATCGCGCTTTGTGGAAATTGTGTCTCATCCAATTCCTACTTTTCACTGTTCCTAATTATTGCATTTATAAGATCAAAAATGGATGCCAGTCAGTACGTCTGTCAGGATAATTATTATATTTTTTCATTTTGAGTAGTTTTGAAAAGTAATACTGTAAAAAGTGAGCTTCAGAGGGTTGAATAAGTAACTTCTAAGGCTTATTCTGCAATTTATTTGTTAAAGCTCATGCCTTTTGAACAATACTGTCTATTTAAAGGTGAACTATGTAACTTTTTTGTGGGTGTCAGTAACTTTTTTCTTTGGGTATGTCATCAGTGCCTGGAATATCATGCAGTTATGACATTAAACTAGCCTGTCAAACCTCGCAGTGTTAGAATTCGTTTGCTCGACGGCAGATAGGTACTTTTTTTTTATTTAACCAATCGCAGCTATTTGGTCGTATCTTATGTAAATCTCGTATGAAGAAGGGCAATAACGTCTTTCCTCTTGATAAAATTCACCAAACATTCTCTTTGTTCTGGCTTTAAATCCTCGATCTCAGGAATCACTGCCAACACAGAATGTACGGCTTCGTCTTTGTCTCGCCCGCTTTGTTTACTGTTGTGCTGTACCACAAAAGGGACCCAGACAGGTGCTTGAGTTTAACGTCGTGGCTTCACAGCTCTTCACTGATTGGCCGGTGCGCGGTCTACAACTTACGGGGTTCTTGCAAACCGTCTAGTGTATTCCGATTCCTGACCTAGTCCCTGGAGAGCAATGAAACTGAGCAGAGGCAGTAGGTGGCGCCTGCCTGGTTAACATTAAACAGCTCTACCTTACATTTATTCAGTTACAGGTGGTTTTACAGCTCAAAAAACTACATTCTGACTGTGAGCAGGGTCGCCTCTCCACAAATCTGACCAGTAACTTTAAAAACATCTGGTTAAGTGGGATTATCTTGCATTATTGTTATTGTATCAGTGTCATAAAGTAGTTTCAAGAGTATATTCTTTTTTATCGTGACAAGTCTACCAGTCAGATGTAAATAAACACGATTTAAAGGGGCCTATTTTCTATACTGGCTACATGTCACTTACAAACCCTTGGCGGAGGATTAGACATGTTATTCATAAGAGGTTAAATGGAGTTGACCTGCTCAGATGCTGCTAAATGAACAGTCAATTAGACACACACAGTCCAGCACAACACACTACAGCACAACCACTTCCTTTTTGACTAGACAGCCACGGGAGCCTCGTCGCTGGGAAAGAGGGGCTGCAATTTTGAAGAATACAGTCATATTGAAACCTACTGACAGTTTCAAGAGAATGACAACAATGTGTTGACTCAGACAGGAAACACAACCAGACGTCTTAATTACGTTTTGTATTAGAGTAAAAAGACAAACAGACAAATCAACTAAAGACACTACAATTCATAAAACGTTCTATAATGTTTATTTACACTTATGTGAGTCTTCAAATGCCCATCACGATAATTACTATATCAACTAATCTTTCAATATATGAAAGCTGGAATTATATTTTGTAGCTCAATACTCGTCGCCTGTACATTTTCTTTGCAATACTATGGAGATTTTTGTTATTTGAGCTGTAGAGGGCTGAATAAGTAACATCTAAAGCTAATTTTCAGTTAATTCTAATATTTACCTGTTGCTGCTCAAGCCTTTAAAGCTGTTTTCTGTTATAATGTTGTTTCCTCATCACAAACACATCTGGAGTTGAGTTTTGTTTCATTCACACATGCTTAAAAAACAAAAAAACTGTATATTTAGGCTGAGTTCTTTCTCTCAAACAGAACATTCTAGTTCACGTGGTAATATAGGAAATGCTCCACTGCGTTTTACACTTGCACTAAAATGATTCAGATCATTTCAACCCTGGAATTGCCAAACAAAACACGAAACAAAAGGTAAAAGGTTGCTGTGAATTTGAAAACTACCACCTTCATGAAATCCAAGGTAGCTTTGGATTTATGGACAATCTAATAATAAAAGGGTTACTAAATCATGTGTAAATGAAACAAAACACAAGTCCAGGTATGTTTTTGAAGAAGTAACAAATGTAAATGTTGCGTAACTTTAAATGACTGTCTAATTAAAAAGCTTTATTGCTTTTGTGTCAGTGCCATAAAGTAGTAATAAATAATAATCAATAATATCTTTTATTATTATAGCTCCATAGCAATAAACCAAGGTTAAAAATTCGTTATCATGACCGGTCCAACTACACTTCATTAAATGTATTTACACGTATTTGAATCTTAATCCACGTAACAAGTGACTCGTGGGAAAAAGAAAATTCCTAGTCAGCCAAAGGGGCACCCCAGGATGAGATCAGACATAATAAAAATGACCCCAACATGTTAGTGTCAAGAATGTGTGCCTGTTTGCACAAGCTCACAGCGTGCACACTTGAAGGACATAATCTTTGGAGTATCACTTACATTGACAGCTGCACAGGACCTTGTATATCCTTGCATATCTGTAGTAGGTGACGGTGCCACATTTGCCAACACTATATCCATGCTCTTATTACACAACATCGTTTAGTTTCAAAGGGAACCATTCATGCTGCGGTCGGTGAAGAAATCTAACGAAGACTGCAGCTAGAAGCATTGCACTGGGAGCAGGACACGGCAAATACTTACTTATAATATTTATATATGTGAAAAACAGGCAGGCACGAGACCTTTGAAGCAATCTTCATGCACAAAACTGAGATTTTCCAAGCATATTGCCTTGACCTCCTTTTCAACCTGATCTGAGGCCACAACCCTGAGAAGGAAACTTTACTCAGCACTCCCCGTTAGGTCATACTTACCTACTTACTTACACCATTTTCTAATCTGATATATAATGTTGTTTCCTCACCAAAAACACAGCTGGAGTTGTATTTTGTTTCATTCAAGTGCTCCATACACCTTCACAGGACTAAACACTATACTGAACTAAAGATAAATACAAATCCACTTGATTTCTATAGCATATTTAATAAACAAAGCAGTTTCCAAAGTGCTGCACATTAAAAACAACAAAAGGTATTAAAAAACAACAGAGGGTAAAAAGGTCGAATTTAACCTTGCCAGTCCTAAAACACTAAAACCAGTAGTCAAGTTAAATAAAGGCAAGCTTATAAAATGGCAATATATCAATAAAATAATATACAAATATAGCTGTTAACTACCACTACATGACATCACAAGGTGGAACAGGGCATTTTGAGCTTTAGAGATGTAAACAGACTAGTTGATTGACTTGACTGAAAGGTTTTCATTTTTCATTACGCACTCTTCTCTCTCATTGAACGTCTCTCTCTCTCTCTCTTTAATTTTATGATGATTATTTATGTTTTGATTGTGATGTGAATGCATTTCTTATTCTATAAAGCACTTTGAATGACTTTGAGTACGAATTGTGCTGTACAGATAAATGTTTAAATGAAATAAACCACAATTCCAGGTGTTTCTGATGAAGTAACCACATTTTAACATGGCTTAAAACTCAATTAATTTTGCGTAATATAGGACATTTTCAATATAGCATCATAAAATCTAGGCTTCTCGCTTGTTGACATGTCTAACTCACATCTAAGCTGCACAGTGATTTGTTTATTAGCTCATAACGCTTTAGAGGACAAGCACAATTGGCATAGAATATATCATAAGGTGCGTGCATCTCTGAGCATACCTTTCCCGTAATTGAAGTGGAGTTTGATAGTCTTGCCCTGATTGATGTGCAGGTAGGTAAACCACACGGCAGAGGTGAGCAGCACCAGGAGCAAGAGGAGCTTAAACTGCTTCCGGATCTTCTTTACGGGAAAGCGCAACATCCTCGCTGAAACATCCTACGGTGGTCACCCGCTATAATGTCTGCAATGTGCCGCGAAAGAGGCGCTGCTGAGGGGGGGGATACTTGTCCCAGTCACGCCGCTGGCATCCCAGGCACCCGGCGAGTAAACACGCGGAGTAAAGCTACAGCGTTACAGCAGCGCGGATCATTTCACTGGATCACTTCACTGGATCCACTGGATGACGGCAGCGCCAAACTTGTCCTGTCCTCAGACGTGGATATAAACACCTCATGGCTGGCGCGCACTCCCCTTTTCTTTAAGAACTGTAGTAGCCTATTAGTAGTAAACAGACTTCAGGGCAGCAGGGAAAAGGCAACACATCAAAAGCGGCTAAGTTCGCTTAACAGTGTGACCCAGTGAACAAAATAGCAGTCCGGCGATAATCTACACAAATCCTCTGGAGCTCAAGCCATTGGTGACACCGCGGCGCTCATTATTTTACGGCTACTCAAGGATCATCCGGAGCCACGGTTTTAGCGCAAAGTCTCCAAGAGCACGAGGAACTGTGTTGAGAGGCGACGGGATCTCGCATCACCACAAAGCCAAACGACAGCGGTTTCTGGAGGAGTTTAATCTTTTTTTCAAATCAGTGCAAACTGGATTAAGCTGCACGGTCCAGAAAAACCGGGACGAGTCAATGCATGTTGCCTTTAACAAAGACGAAACTGGTCACAGGCAAGCGTGTGGTGGCAAAGACCAAATGTAATCGGAGCTTGGTCTATTGTTACACACAGTTGAAAGTGAGACCGTGCAGCTCCCGGACAAGGCAGCGGATACAGATGAAGCGCGTTTTTATTGAAGTCCAAGGAGAGGAGGGGCGATCAGCTGTCATCCTCATAATCGGGTTGGTCTGAGCGACAAGCAGCTAGACGCTAAAGCGCTGGAGATGTCAAAGTACAAAAGCCTCATGATGCCGTAACGAACACATATCATTAGTTAGTAAATAGGATATTCACTTATGACTGTCCGATGCGAAACCCAATGCAGCATTCACGCGCGCGCTTCCTCACAGCAGGTGCATCTCTGTGAATAGTCCAAAAGTAGTCCTGGCGATCACCGTGTCCGAGAGTGCTCCGTGTGCTGGGCTCAAGCACAGACTTGGAGTAAACCCAGTCTGTGCTGCTAGCAGTGAGGCAATGCCTTGTGTTGTTATCCTGTCACCAGCTCTTTTCATTTAGAATGCAGCGATACAATCGTCCAAGCGGCTTTGCGTGCGCGGATTGAAGAGACAACGGAGCTGGGAGGAAAAGTGGCTCCATAAACAAGATAAAACATGGCTTTGTTTTGCTACAGTCAAACGCATAAAAGGTATCTCCTTTCAGTGCACTGCTCTGTACGCCCATCAATTGAGCATCTTGACGGTGCAGAGCAACCTAACGCGAGAGGATAGGGAGAGGCATGCCCGGCATCCAATTACAAGCGACCGAGCGTGGACAGGGGCGGGCGTTTAGTCCCACCGTGTTGGAGGCACACAACTCAGATCCATCGTCTAATAGCTGCACGCACCATGAACATTTAAACTAAAACTTACCTGAGGTTCTCATTAAAATATATCGTAACAATAAATAACACAAGCAGTGTTTAAGGGAAGTCTAAAGTTTAACACTGGACACAGTGTAATACACTGGCTTACAGTATCACACGCTTTAATTGCCTATTGGCATCAGTGAGGAGCAGTCATCACAGCGCGCCTTTTACTGCCGCTCTATGGTAAGACTGGAAACTGCAGGCTCTTAACCTACATTAATACAATTTACAGGCTAGTTGTGTCCACAAACAGTAATAATCATCCCAAGAAACTTGAGTGGGGAGAATTGCATTTTGCATTTATTAATGAAACAAAGTTATATATATATTTTATATTATTTCTGTAGTAATAAATGGGACGGGACAAAATCTTGTTCCACAAGATCTTGTGAGCTAAAATTGCCACAAAATTATGCACACATTAGACAGACTCTTGTGAGATTTGTGTTTATTTAGTTTACATTTGGACAAAAAAGATTTAAGGGCTGGTAAATTGCGTCTCTCAAGAAGCTGTGGTTCCAAAAATAAGTCTACAAATACAACAAAAATATTAAATATAAAAATCTTACACCAAAACTGTACAAATTATACATTATGTGAAAATCTGTCTCGTCTCTTTCTCATGGACCTAATCTCGTGTCTCATCTCATCCCACCCCCAGTAATCAGATAAATATCCACCTGTGATACATTTAAATGAGTGGCCCGGAAAACATAATTTGCACTTCTAAGAGTAAGACCAAACATAAACAGTCATCTGTAGAGTAAAACATAACGTGTATTCCTCAAAAGATTTACCACCCAGTGATCTGCTGCTGGGTCAATCAATCTGGATAAGAGATCAAAGGACACAAACCTGGACTGGATGCGTATGACCTCAATTTAGTCTGTCCCAGCTGTGCCTTCAAAACCAGAACGCAAACTATAATCCCTGACTGCATGGATTAAAAACGTAATCATGAGAGCAAACACTGTGACTAAATGAAATTCTTAGGTATTCATATTCGCTCTATTGAAATGAATGGGAGAAGGACCTCACGTCTATTCCATCCATTTAGGCTCAAACAGAAACTTCACAGGGTTCACCTTGGGCTGTTGCAGAAAAACAAAGGCACATTTCATCATACACAATCTTATCAAAGAGTATACTTTTATGAGAGTTTCCAGTGATGTGCTATGATGGACGTATGATTGTACTAAACTCAGTGCATTTGATCATTTGTCCTGTGAAAAAGGCTGAGGCGAAGCAGTTTGATGTATCAACTGATGTCCTGATCGTTAATGTGCTTTCCTGTTAATGTACGGTCAGTGTGTTATGCTTTTATTTTGAAGAGTGGACCACAAGAAGAGCGGTCTGTGCACTTGCAGAGACTAATGGGGATCCTTACATAAACAAATAAATAAAAATCTTGAATTCACACATAAGCTGCTACTCAAAGTTGGCTTTAAATTTTGAGTTAAAGGGCCCATATTACTCTATTTTCTGATGTGTTTCCTGTCGTTTCCTCATCGAAAACACACCTGGAGTTGTGTTTTTTTTTTTAATTCACACATGTTTCACACACAAACCCTGAATATTAAAGCTCTGTGTTCTTCTCTCAAGCAGAAAACACTCCGCTCCACCTTGTTATGTCATGTTTTAATACAGGAAGTGCTCCACGGTGTTTTTAAACTCCATACACCTTCACTAGAATCATTTGGATATTTTTACTTAGACTTAGACAAACTTTATCGATCCACAAGGGAAATTATTTGGACACAGTAGCTCACACATCACAATAAATATAATAACAAAGAGCAAAAATATAAATAAAATAAATTCTAAATAAGTAGCAAAAAAGAAAGCAAGAGACAGGTGTCAAACAAGACAGAACTATATAAATGTACAAGTAAAATATGAAACTGAAATATAAGTAATAAAATGATATGATGATTGACAGGACATAGGTTTAACTGTTACATAAGGGTGAGTTATTGTACAGTTGTAGGGAGTATTATCTGTTACATAAGGGTGAGTTGTTGTACAGTTGTAGGGAGTATTATCTGTTCCATAAGGATGAGTTGTTGTACAGTTGTAGGGAGTATTATCTGTTACATAAGGATGAGTTGTTGTACAGTTGTAGGGAGTATTATCTGTTACATAAGGGTGAGTTGTTGTACAGTTGTAGGGAGTATTCTCTGTTCCATAAGGGTGAGTCGTGATACAGTTGTAGGGAGTATTATCTGTTACATAAGGGTGAGTTGTGATACAGTTGTAGGGAGTATTATCTGTTACGTAAGGGTGAGTTGTTGTACAGTTGTAGGGAGTATTATCTGTTACATAAGGGTGAGTTATTGTACAGTTGTAGGGAGTATTATCTGTTACATAAGGGTGAGTCGTGATACAGTTGTAGGGAGTATTATCTGTTACATAAGGGTGAGTTATTGTACAGTTGTAGGGAGTATTATCTGTTACATAAGGGTGAGTTGTTGTACAGTTGTAGGGAGTATTATCTGTTACATAAGGGTGAGTTGTGATACAGTTGTACAGTTGTAGGGAGTATTATCTGTTACATAAGGGTGAGTTATTGTACAGTTGTAGGGAGTATTATCTGTTACATAAGGGTGAGTTGTTGTACAGTTGTAGGGAGTATTCTCTGTTCCATAAGGGTGAGTCGTGATACAGTTGTAGGGAGTATTATCTGTTACATAAGGGTGAGTTGTTGTACAGTTGTAGGGAGTATTATCTGTTACATTAAGGGTGAGTTGTTGTATACAGTTGTAGGGAGTATTCTCTGTTCCATAAGGGTGAGTTGTGATACAGTTGTAGGGAGTATTATCTGTTCCATAAGGGTGAGTCGTGATACAGTTGTAGGGAGTATTATCTGTTACATAAGGATGAGTTGTTGTATACAGTTGTAGGGAGTATTCTCTGTTCCATAAGGGTGAGTCGTGATACAGTTGTAGGGAGTATTATCTGTTACATAAGGGTGAGTTGTTGTACAGTTGTAGGGAGTATTATCTGTTACATAAGGGTGAGTTGTGATACAGTTGTAGGGAGTATTATCTGTTACATAAGGGTGAGTTGTTGTACAGTTGTAGGGAGTATTATCTGTTCCATAAGGGTGAGTCGTGATACAGTTGTAGGGAGTATTATCTGTTACATAAGGGTGAGTTGTTGTACAGTTGTAGGGAGTATTATCTGTTACATAAGGGTGAGTTATTGTACAGTTGTAGGGAGTATTATCTGTTACATAAGGGTGAGTTGTTGTACAGTTGTAGGGAGTATTATCTGTTACATAAGGGTGAGTTGTGATACAGTTGTAGGGAGTATTATCTGTTACATAAGGGTGAGTTATTGTACAGTTGTAGGGAGTATTATCTGTTACATAAGGGTGAGTTGTTGTACAGTTGTAGGGAGTATTATCTGTTACGTAAGGGTGAGTTGTGATACAGTTGTAGGGAGTATTATCTGTTACATAAGGGTGAGTTATTGTACAGTTGTAGGGAGTATTATCTGTTACATAAGGGTGAGTTGTTGTACAGTTGTAGGGAGTATTATCTGTTACGTAAGGGTGAGTTGTGATACAGTTGTAGGGAGTATTATCTGTTACATAAGGGTGAGTTGTTACAGTTGTAGGGAGTATTATCTGTTACATTAGGGTGTACAGTTGTATGTATTTCAGCCCTGGAAATGCCAATTTCTACTAAATTAAAAGGTAAAAGGAGTTGTTAACTTGAAAATTAACGCTTCATGACATCACAAGGTGGAACAGAGAATTTAAAACTTTGGAGATACAGATAGACTAATAATCCAGCATTACTTAAACATTGTGTGAATGAAACAACTCCAGGTATGTTTTAGAGGCCGTAACAACATTCTAATATGTCGTAAACCTCAGAAGAATCAATGTTGTGTAATATAAGACCTTTAAATTCCTTACTCCTTAAAGTCTTTATGTGAACTACTGCATTACCTCAAGAAGAATAGCTGATTGTTTGTTTGGCTTCTCTATTCTTCCACTGCCCCCAGAGGCATTTGGTAGCCAGGTCCCAACCTCCAGGGATCTCGATGAACTGGAGAGGTGCTGAAAATGCAAGACAGATAAAGTCAGTGAGAAGACACTGCCATCAGAGAGTAAGTGCACAAAGATCAGTTAATGGTCCAGCTCTATCTCCCAGAAAGTGCAAATCAAAGTATATGAGTTAGCACAATGTGGTCTGCAATAAGAACTACTTTTTGACTGTAAAATGAAAATTCAAAGGATAGCATTTTAAAGGTTACACAAAATGGATTCTTATAGCTTTAAGTCATGTTAGAATGTTGTTACCTACTCAAAAATGATTATTATTAGTCTGTCTACATCTGCAAAGCTCAGAACG